ATATTACACCCAAGATATCAATATACAGCATGGGCATCCTGTCAGCATGATAGGGAGAGGGGGGGGGTCCTACTAACACCTAAAAGGTGCCTCAGCAGGTAAACATTGTTATTGTCGAACAATTTGTTCATTTCCACATTGTTGTACAAAAGCAATACTGATTCAATGTAATATTAAATGCCAATTTTTAGAATATCTCATTATTTTTTTAAGTTGACAATTTTTTTTCAATTATTTTATACAAAACCAGTAAAAAAAGGCAGTTTATAATTTGTGACTCTACAAATATTAGGATACTCTGATTCCAGCAAAATTGGATTCTCATTCTTACGAAGGCAGACAATACACTAAGGGGAGTAATACGAGTTGGTAACAAAGATTGGCACATTTGTAGGAGGGCTTTGACAGGTAATGTTTCTATTTTAATTTTTAAATTAGGGGGGGGGGGTTAATGCAGCATGATATTGATGTATGGAATTATCAAAGCTTGATCACAATTTTTCTTTTTCTTTTACACTATTTGAATATGACTGCCATTAACATGGTAGTGTCAGTGCTCATTAATCTCATCTGGAACCAAAATAAACATTTTGACTTGATGGAAACATCCATAAAAGACTGAATGCTTTGAAGGTTATTTAATTTGTCATGTAATTCTTTAATGCCACATATTTAACTGGCATAGTGGTATTGTTACATTTGGCAAGTAAATTGAATGAACGACTTTCAGGCAGGGGGAAAAAAAATATACTAGTAGTACTGTCGAATTTTTGATCCAATCGAATTCAATGTCCTTTCTTGTACATCAGCACATAAAATTTAACAGGCTGTTTTGCATGGAGTAAATTCACAGAAACTGAACAGATGTGTGTAATTTTAATAACAAGGCTATAATTTCATTTAAATAAATCAAACTTACCGATTATCACGTATAATAAAAATTTTTAAAATGACTACGTAATAAACTACTACAATAAAATTAACACTTGAAACTCAAAAGAAATCTCGCTAATAAAATACATTTCCCAGCCAACATAGCTGTGTAAACATTTTAATCAACTGCACCACAGTGCAGCAACCATTTTACGATTAGATTCAAACCACAGTGAAAAACTAGGCATCCCTTCCCGGAATATCGTGAATCCTCTGCGGCACCATAATATACATCAGCCAGATAGCTGTATATAAAGCGCATCAAATATGTGCTTGTATTACATCTAAATTTAGCACACTACTATGTAACAAACTATTGTCACCGACTGTTCAATGACAAGAGAAAACCTTTCTAGGTTGATCAGGTGCAGACTAATTTTAAAATGCACCCTATGGTTCAATAAATTCATTTTGTAAAGATGTTACCATTACTTGAAACATTGTAGCTGCAAGGTATCAATGTAAAACATTTTGGTGCTTATTTATTTATTTATATTTCTAGCCTTTACCAAAGTCATGAAGTCTCGTGCACAAAATATACATTTTTATACCCAGGATCGAACATATCAAACAGAATTGCCAGAATAAAATGCAAAAGAATCTGTCAATATGAAACTCCAGCAGGCCTCTATAGTTTCACTCAAATAAGGCAATTCCATTCATCCTTGGATTGCCACTTGTGTATATACACATGAAATTTAAGCCATGCCAAATTTGATCTAACATACACAGCATGTCCGAACTGCTGTATCTCTATAACCATCAGTTTCTATCATCAAACCATTATACAAACCGTGCTAGGCAATTCAGACCCACATGGAACACATTAATACTAAACCAGAACATGTTAAACCAGAAGGGAACACAACTGTCTGGGTTTTATAGCACAACAAATTTAGGTTAGAAAATTATTTAAACAAGATACAGGCTTGAAATAATTACTGTTGTCAAAGTTTGATGACATTTTCATCAAATATTCTCCAGACCCTACTCTATAATAAAATTATTTGATACAATTCACAAGGCATTGTCAGCATGGGTAACATTTCAAAATTTGCTAACAATTATTTATTGAAAATTACGTTCCACAATACAGCCTTGTTCTTCATTTGTATTGAGACATTCAGTACAAAACATCAGTTTCGTATTGTCAAAAGAATTAATTTCCTTAACACCAGAATATATGCCAACAATGAGTGGGACTGTTTTCTCCATCAGTTAAGAGCAGACTAAGAAGATGTCATTAAAATTTCAACATGCATCGCACACATGAATGATGCATTACATTGCTCACATTTTCTAATATTAGGAACTGCTTTTGACGGGCTAAACCATTTTAGACAGCTGCTCATCTAACAGCAACATTCATCCATCAAAGACTTCCAATTTCAGCAGACAATCTACCTTCTTTTAATAATTTTTTTAAAATGGCTATTATCACAAATAACGTAAATATACCGAGCAGTCTTGTGCAGTTTTGTTACAAGGACAAACAAACTCAAATTTTGAATAAATTCACTGAAATTCATGTAAAGGCCATCTGACCTTGCAATATTCATAGTAAAAGGGCAAAGCACTAGCAATCTTATCAATCATATTATCATGCATAATGTAGGCTATTAAGAATCCGAGGAAACGAACCTACTTAAAATGTACACAATTACAATAGCCAATTCCTACGTTGATTGTCTAAATTTCAACTTGCAAATTAAAATCTGACGAGCCAACATAAATCCATTTTCATTCCTATTCTATTGGAGGACTTCAATATTTTGCAAGACAAAGTACATAACAGTACTGTCTGGTAGGCCATCTTTGACTCATTATGTATTGGAATACTGCTGAGGAAGCCTGTGGCATAAGTGGAATATTTGGTTGAAAACTATCCCTGCCTACAACTGTTCAGCACATCTCAAGAATTCAGACTTAGAATTCAATGAGGACACCAAGAAAAATTTAACAAAAAAACAATAGAAAATTTAAACTAATTTAATATACACATAAATTTTAATTTTATTACAGGGGTTCATATTTAAAGAATCAACTAACTAAACAGCTGATTACCATGCAGTGTTACACAGGAAGACTTGATCAATTTAAATGTATTGTTTATGTGGAGTCCCCCTTAAGGTAAAGCAGTGACATTGGTTCAAGGTCAAAGGTGAAATGGTTTCTCTTGTCAGCCTATGTACAATGATACGGTCCAGATGACCATACTGTGTTTGAAACCCAGGTGTCAACACAAACTGGGCCAGAGATAAATAGGTCAAGAAGGAGCATTGCTTTGACTGACTTATCTTGCACAAGTCAAGTGCCATGACGAGATTTGGTTATGCTTCTGTGTTCTGAATGAGGTGTTGAAATTTGATGCCATGGGCTAAAGCCACGACAACTCTTCACCTCTACACGCTCCAAACAAGATGTTGACAAATGTCTACCAGGACTTAAGAACATTATCAGAACACTAATCCAAATTTACACACACTATACAAACAGGATTATGAAGATTATCTTATACAAGGATTAACAACAAATTTATAATAAAATTTGGATAAATTATAGCAACCAATATAATCCCATCCACTATACGTGTATAAATTATAGTAAATCTTTCAGTTATATCAAATTCACTAATCAACGATTTAAGTTTATTTATGGGATGACATTTCACCCACTTTCAAAATACCCCTGGAAACTAGTCTTGCAGAACAGTGTTTCATCCAAATCGTAAAAAAAGTAGCAGGTAGGTTGTCATAATCTAACAGCTTTATATTTGTCACAAAATAACAAGCATCATTCAACAAAAGATTAAACATTAATTGCAATCAAGAAATTTCCATTACACCAATTAGACTTGTTAATTGCAATCAAGTGAAGTGAATTAGAATACATACCCCCCCCCCAAAAAACAACAACATTGAACTGAACCATCACATAAGCTGGGCAAACAGTCAATTATTCAATATGCAGAAAAGTGAGGGCAAAGTCATTTGGTGAGTAGGTACATCGATTTCAAAAAGATGTTCAGTTTTTTAAATAGAAAATGTTACTATAACCATGCATTTTTCAAATGATACATAATAAATAAATATTAACTCAAACATTTAAGATTAGACCCGTTTTATTGATATAAGTAAAACTGGTGAAAATAAAAATAAACTAGAGATAAATTTTAAAACCGATAATGCTAAGCCGGCAAAATGACATTTAATCTAGAATCATCGATATAATTCTGAACCCTCGTATTTTAATTATTTATGCAAATTGTTTGCATAAAGGTCTATATATGAATACAAATTAAGGGGGTACAGGTGAGACCGTACTTTCATACTATTATTTTAGTCATGGATGACTAGAACATAAAAACTGATCAACGACACTGGACTCTTAATGATCAAATGCATCAATTAGCCAAGAACATTGTCTGAATTTTAAATCAACATAAATGCCAACTGAATAAATAATGAGAATAGACTTAATCGCAAAAAATAATGGGGTAGTCTAGTGATCAGTCTAGAATTTGTAAAATGACTTGTCATTTTATTTTTTAGCCTAACAACATAATTCAAGCCAATCCAAGTTGAAAATCTTTTGTTCTAGGTTCATGATTAAGAATGCCCAGGTTAGTCCACAGATTGGCAGATGTTTTCTTTTGAATTCACTTCCCATAAAATATATTCACTTGAATGCTATTAGCATCTGCCGGAAATGGTCAGTTTCAGCATCAATAATGCCATGCAACAAGCCAGAAATGACCTTTGACACTTACTATTATCCCAAATCAAATGCCTACATTTCAAACTCATTGAGCAACTCCCTACCCAGCACAACTGTCTTAATTCACAAGTATTTGTACAATTATTTCCAAGCCTTTGTTTTTTTAAATAAAACTTCCGATGAAATTATCAACAGTGAATTTTGTAGTTGTTTTTAGGACATTTTTATATTACGGAAACAAGATGCAGATATTCCAATGGATTCAGTTTTATACAATTCTATCCCATTTTGAATTCAATACAAGCACGAGTATGTACAGTCCAAAGATAGAAACAAACATGAGTGCCTACCTGTAACTTTATCTCGGATTAGTTTGCACGATTCAATCTCTCCAATACTACTGAATAGAGACTTGATTTCCTCTTGAGTCATCGTCTGGGGTAAATAGTTGATTATTAAATTGGTTTTGCTGTCTTCTGGTATCAGCGGTGAGGTTCCACCATTGTTGCGCATGATACCGTTCTGTTGCATCACAGCGTCCGGATGTGCGTTTTGAGTAATTGTTGTATCCATAATGTAATTGGTTAAAATTCTGCAACGTAGGTAAAAATGAGGAAAACAAACCCAAAAGAAACATAATAAAAGAAATGAAAATAAAGAAAATGGGAGAGAAAGGAAAAAAAATAATTAATATAGAAAGCATACATTTACAGAAAGGTTGCTACTTATTCTATTAAAACACCCTGCATATTCTAACACCACTCAGTATGATGGTGATGACCTGTAATGCTATACTTCACTCAAATGAAGTCAATCGGTCCTCAGCTGCCATGTTTTACCCTAACAATCTCACAACATCAATAGTACCTCTCGCTCTACGGCGTACACGCTAAACAGCCGGTTCAGAAACAGAAAGGCAGCTATCACCACAGCTAGCAAACAAAAGAAACTTTAACCTACAACTGAGCCTGCTTCTCATTTCCTAGGTCGTGAAATACCGCATCTCCAGCCGAATTCACCGATACTATTGAGGAGAACATGATGCAGCAAGACTGGTTACACGCACACTGTCACAACTGAATGGGTCAATAAAGACCAGTCTCATTTAACATTCAAAAAATACTCTCCACCCAGGCTTTGTTTAAAAGCACACCAAAGGAATGATTTATGAGTCAACAGATAAAAGAAAGCTGTGACTGAATACAGTTCAACATAATAAGAAAACCCCTCAAAGGTTTACACACTGTCTTGTGCCCCCAATAGGTAGGGGGAAAAAAATGGTGTCTGGGTTGACACAAAAGGTTTCACACGACAATGAGATAAAACCGTTCTTTGCGTTTTAAAGCCAGGCAAACAATGATAGAACAGTATGCAGGACGTTGGGTCAATGAATTCTTGTGCAGAATAAAAATACATTTGCCAATAATTTAGCAAAAATTTGAATACTGTATTACCTTGGCGCTACTATTTTTAACAGATAGGATAGCAACTGAGATCAGGATAATGCAAAATAAAACCAAATTCCGAAATGAAAATATTAGGTGCATGAATTCTTCAAATTGGCTTGATATACTATAGCTCCCTGGGCAATTATCAAATTTGGAAACCTTGGCTTTAGTGGAGTTTTAGGCTAAAAAAACATTTGTAACTACACTACTGGTTAACAGTACACTACAATGCAAATTTAGTCTAATTGTAGAATTGGCAGCTGTAACCTATATCAGGCTATTCTGCCACAACACTATTTCAAATATTACAATTAAAATGCCCATTAAATGCCAGAAATAAAACATCTGCATTTAGTAAAGTTCTAATATGGTAATAAAAAAAAAAGTTGAAATAGTTTGATATTTATTTTTTATTTTAAAGAAAAAAATTAATGAATATTCTGGTATTATTTCACAGTATATATGTAGTTAATTTTAAGAAGTGACAAGACCTTTCATACAAAGCAATATATGCAGATGGCACTGGCTAGCCTTTAATTCCCACAAAATTCGTATGAATTACACTCAAGGTCCTCCGGGACTGGGGCTCTGAAGTAACAAATGCTAGTAAATTAGACTCAATCAAGAAAATGCCTCCATTTCATTCCAATAATACAATCTTCCCTGTTCGGTTCATGCATACACACCTCTGAAAACTGTTTCACCAATGAATAAATTACATGCCTACAAAATCTAATTTACAAAGTCTACTCTTGCGTTTTTTTCTTCAAAACAACCCTAGTTCATTCTCAACATTCAGTGTTTTAGAGAATCCTAGTATTAAATAAAATTATAATTTTTTAATTTTCCACAATGTCAGTAAATTTAGTTAATTTTGTGAGGGGAGCAATTATAATTTATTTAAAGTGTTTTTTTTAAATGTCTTCACTATCGGGTCTTGCCTCTGTAGCGCAAAACAGACTAAAACATATTTACACTGAAGCACCCATCTCCAACATTGAACAGAATTACATTGGTTTTTTTAACTGAAAAGGTATTTTTGTTTGGCGCGTTCGGCAGCTGTACATTTTTTTTTGAACTAGCCGGTCAATCGTCTAAGTGCTTGAAGTTTGTTTTGTCTACGCTTAATAAGATTGACACAAAGCTTCGATTACCACACCGATTGTGAACTACGACCGGTGGACGTGTTTACATAAATTTTGTCTCCGCGATAGTGGTCCATTGTTTGAGCTTTTTTTCTCTGAATTTTCACCGTATAAAACAAAGTGAGTCAAAATACGTCTCGCTTTTGTTAGCGGCGCGTGTCAGGCCGTCACATTTTTCATAAACAATGTACGGTATCAATGGTAAATTTTAGATCAGCTATCACAAAATAATTGAGATTTTTGCCAATTTACCGAGAACGAAGCTCTAACAGGAAACCCCTACGGTTGTTTATCAACAGTTTCGCGCACCGTGGTTTCCTCGTGGTAATTCCGCGCAGCTGTGGGTAGGGTACATGGCGTGTAACGAACGGTTAAAAAGCGTGTACAGCTGCAACCCTGGGTGGCTGCCCCGACAAAACTGAAACTGGGGACGCAATTTGTAACAATGGAATACAAGGCAAAGTAGCAAATGTAGAAAGTGAAGCCCGCTCAAATTCAACTCACGGCACGCGCCAGGGACCACACCGTGCGTGGCCGGATTTCCACGTCACCGTGAAACGTCTGTAAATTTAGATATTTAAACCTTCCACCTCAATATAGAGGTTCATTACCAGCAAGGCACCCGGAAGATTAGAGAAAAAATAACCACGTCAATGACGGAGATAACACAAAGCTACACACACACAGACACCATAGACCACGTGTTTGGAAGTTCGGGACTTCATCCACACGATGCCAGGAAATCCCACAAAACATATGAAAACAAGCGATACTGATAAGCAAAAATGACACCCTGACAAATAGAGATAACGTCGCAGTCGCACTACAACCGGAACTCTCAGAGTAAGGTACAGATTATCACAATTTCCACCAAGAACATGCACGGTTCGCAGTATCTAGTTATACCAAACTGTTCATCTGACAGTCAGTCGGCACGCAACGGTTTGGGTTACAAAACCTCGCCGAATACGACCATTCTACAAGCTAAATTACTTACCTTCTTGTCTTAGTTCTTGAAATATCGTTACGGCAGCTTTCTGGCGATGTAGCTGAAAGTTTGGAGCTGCCCGGGTTTCAAAAAAATAACGGAGAAAGCAGCTATTTAAGGGTCAGACTAAAATTGTCAAAAAAACGTGCTCTACAAAGATGGCGTAGTGTCGACTAAGAAATGACCGTAATATAAACTTTGCCCGATAAAATCCTAGTGTGGCAAAATACGCCTTGGTTCGACGTGCCTAAAAACTGCTTACTAGAAAGAACTGATAACGGGTTAAATAAGATTTTGGTACCAACAAAAACGGTTGTCAATGTGGTGTTCTAATGTGACAGAACGTAACAGGACAATGTGCTGAGCACTTTACAACAAAAATAACCTTCTCTCAATATAGCACACGTCTATGTAGGACACCTCACAGATCGACGGATATCCCGCCGCACAAAATAGTACGTCGATGTTTTGATGGTGTTTTATAACTGTCTTAGTTTCTGTTGATGCATAAATATAAATTTGTGCTTAACAGTCAAAATTATAAATCTTCGTATCACTTAGGCCTCAATTTAAGATGTTTTTTTCAAACATCGAAACGATATCCTAGTTTTAATAATAAATCAGCTGTGGTAAAGCGACTGACCTTTGACAGAATGACGTAATTGACAGCTTGATCGGCGGGAAAGGCAAAATAAAAAGCAAAACAAGACCATGAAATCGGACGATGACACTAAAACGAGCACCAGACAACATCATGAATAGTTCTAAAATGCATTTATTGTTATATGTTTTTGAATTAAATAAAGAATCTGTGTGGCACGCAGCGTTGGTCACCGACGTATCAACGGGCCAAGTACATAGGGACCCGTCGCAAAGAGACCATTCACTGTGCGCTAAGAATGACAACTCCCGTATCAATTATTTATGTGGGGCATTTTTTTAATGTAAACGTGGTATTATCTTGTACATTTTAACAGTTTTGTTAATATTATCTAAACACTAATATACTGACTCGCTTCTTTGCTATATTTAAATTCATATGATGAGGGTAATGATCGTTCAGTGCAATACGTGTACGTAATTCACATACTTTTTATGAATACGCAATGAATTCTATTTTTTTTTCACGTTTCAGTATGCAAAATTTTATTTTCAGGTAAGAGGATGTTATTGGTCAGGTGTTGACAATGTTGTATTTTCTTCACGTGCGCGTAGTTTCGGCCTTCAATGCACTGCACCGCACATGACACGGTGCACTATACAACCTGAATATTCATGTTCTATATATATACATAAATATATATATATATAAACACCCAGTGTTGTGTCACAGTCTCCCGGGAACGGTGTTTAGAAACAAGGTGAGTGATAACACAATAATATATAAAATCGCTACTCTCGTAAATGTTGATTGAGTGTAAGCGAAAAGAAACGCGTGTTTTTGTTTTTGTCTTGTTTTACACAATGTAAACGGAGCTAGTGAACCTTTCATTGTAAAATAAAGGACGATATAATGCGGAAATGCTGGAATTTCAACAAATAAATTGTATAACTGAGCGAAAGAAAACGCATTTATTTGTACATTATACTTCCTGTATTGGTAGTAAATCTAAGAAATTATGATTTTTCCCAAAATTTACTAAAAAAATGAATTAGTAAAAATGATATATAATATATATGGTAACTATTGTTCCGTTGCTTTATCAAATATCACAATTACTAACGCTTCTTTATTTCCTCAAAAAAAAACTTCAACTTGGTGTCTGTTCATTACTAGAAACACTTCAAGAAAATACATACAATTAATCGAATGCCAAAGTTCTAAAGTGAGAAGAGTTTTTGAAGTGGTTGGTCAAGTTGTTATCAGTCTAACATACAGTAAATTGACTTACCGGATTATAATGACAATGGAAAACAAATAGATTTGCTGTATAATCCAAAAGATTTTAAAGAATATTCTGGTTTCAAAAGAATAGAAGTATATTTTTTGAAACTCAAAATATCCTTTAATAATATCAAACAATTTGCATTCTTTTTTAATTGTCTAATCTAATTTGGCTGTCTTCACTTTGACCGTCATCATGCGGAATAAATATCTGTTTTTGATCGCCTCGCCACGCGCAGCGATCTCAAATATTTCACCTCGAGCCCATTTGTCCCGTTATATGCGTTCATGGAACTCCCAATCGGATTAACAACTGGGCAGGTGTCCTAAGTGTGACCGCCATATGGTGCCGACCACCCCTGTCTGAAAAAATGCGCCAGTCCAAAACGCAAATGCGCAAAGTGTAATGGGTAAACAAAATGGCGGACAAGAAGATCGACTCGGGTAAATATAACTCTACATTAATATTTTACTTTTCTGTTAGTTGTTCAACGATTTGAACCTTATTTGTTCAAACTGTTCTAGAACATATAAACTGGAGTCTGTAATAATTGTATTCGGTCAGCCAGTGTTAGCAATTTGAGGTAAATTTCGCCGAATTCCATTTGTTGTTAATATGCATTAAGTTCAATCAAAATTACTCGCCGGATTTTGCTCTTGCCTTTTAATTTATTTAATTCATTGTCAGCCTCAATGAGATTTATGTAATAATGTAGTTCGGGACATGCTCTGCAGTGTCCTACTCATTCTAACGGCGTTAACTCGTCGTACAGATTATAAATACAACTCAACAGTGTTCCGTTGCCATGGTAATCTATAATATATCGCTGTTCGCTTCCTAATGATAGAGGTCGCTATTAATACTTGCAGCAGTAGTGACAAAGTTGAGGCTGTCAGGCAATTTAGGTTCAGCATCCCCCAACCAGGCGCTCCTCGCATAGTGAAAAGTGTGTAAATATTCAGAGAATCAAAATTACTCAGAAATTTATTACTTTTAAATTTTCCATACTTCCTTCCACACCAATGGCATATTTACCGGTAATAAAATATGATAGTGACTTTATTCTGTAAAATCTTTTATTTTTGCTGAAAGAGTGAATCAACATAAACAAATTCACAAAATGGGACACAAACTAGATTTGATTCAAATTATATCTGTATCCCTATACCAGTCCCTAAATCAATTACAACTGGTAGTACATTGTTAATGATTAATACATTCATTCACATTTGGTGTCGCACATCACACCAAAATATCAAAAATAAATTTAATGTACTAGCAAACACATACAACTAATATATTGTATAGTATTCATATCACTCATTTATACTTGTAGGAAGTGATGATGGTAGTGATGAGGGCGTGGTTGGAAATGTTAACAAGTTTGCTGTTGTACCCCCTGGTTTTTCAGGGCGACCAAAGAAAGGCCATCTAATATTTGATGCTTGTTTTGAGTGTGGTAAGTAAACTAGAGTGTTATCATTTAGGAAAAAGAAGTCATCCTGGTGTCTTCTAGGGGTACACATTCACAGTCAATGAGAATATGTCAATTATTTTTCCCCAAAAATTGCAAGCAGTGAAAACAGTCAAATATCCAAAATATTGACAACCAACAAGCCGACTCAACTCAACTCAAATTTTGGGGGATTGTATTTTGACTCTACAAAATCAGTTCTGTTAGAGGGCACACTGCCCTGGAATAAATACTATTCTTATCTAGCTTGATATATTCTCCTAACTATAACCATTGAATTGTTAGTGAATAAAATAAAAGGAATGGCTGGAATGCTACCAAGATTTTTTTCACATCAGATTTCTCAGAAATGTCTTTACAAATCAACACTTTCTTCAAAATAACCCTGGTAATATAGACTTCCTGCAAATCTAAATAAATGAATCTGATGCAACTATTTGCTTGAATTCATAGCAGGTGGTTTGATTTCTAGGCTCAAGTTTTTTTTGTTTTTCTTTAAACAAACATTGTACCTAAGATCTCCTGGCTTCCAATGGCAATATAAACACTTTGTCTTTATGAGACCAATCTAACAAGCAATATAAAAAGTGGTTCTACTAAAATGATATCACATGCATGGATAATCACATACACATTTTACTGCAAAGGGAATTCCATCCTTCCAGTCACATATACTCACCTGATGCAAAGTAGGAGGGACTGATTGATGTCACAGAATTGGCATCAGTTTTGGAGTTGCTTGATGTAAAACCATCTGATCACTCAATCTGGAGGACATATGCTGGTCAGTAGCAGAAATAAATGTATCAAACAACAGCTTTTTGTCGCTTTCATGAAAAGCATTCCAGCTCATGGTGAAATCAAAAGTCAGGGATTGAAAAGTAGATTGGCGTTACTGCATTTCCCAGTTAGAAGGTGAACATTGAAGACCTGGGATTTTTTCATGCATTTGGGAGAAGACAACCTTGCAAGCTGCTGACTGTGCATCACCATGTTCACTGTGATATTTTGCTGTGTAATATATGCAAATTAATGCAGAACTATTGCAGGTGGTTTTGTTTGAACAAAGTGCCACATAAGAAAGTGGTTATGTAATCAAATCAACTGCAAAGCTGAAAGTAGGTCACTGTTTTTTAAAATGACTACATTCTGTTTGGCTTTTGATTTAAGCTTTATTTCAACCTGTACAAGACATTGCTGATTAACTTCCAGTATATTATTACATTATACGTTATATGAGTCACTGATAGATGGCGCTGTGGTGCTATGTTCCTATTATCAGGGTACTGATCGTGGAAATGCTATTTAATGATGAATGAAAGATTGAGTGTTGAGTGGCAAAAAAACTGTTTATTGACATGTTAGCTAATGTAAGCATCCATGTGACTGGACATATTATGAATTTAAAGATTATGTACATTAAAACTATAAAACACAGTTTGCCATATTTTAATAATGTTCATACTGTCATCTTGTTTTGCCATACCTTGTAGAAGTTCATGATCAATGTAGAATGTGAACATTTGTATCAAGGTCTAGGTGGTTCAGAGTCCACCGTTGCATTCCTTGATGCTTTGCAGTAATTTTGCTGAATCTCTGGGAATTTGCAGAACAATGTTTTAGATAGACTTTCAATCCATTTATTTGCATCAACTGACAAAATCTGACTCTGTAATTTCATCCTTTTTTTTAAAAAAAATCATGAAATACTAGACTGGAATCTATTAGCTAAGGTTAGGGTTTATTTATCAAAAATTAAATGTCATATATACTTCATAAAATATAGGTCTATTAAGATATGGGAAATGAAAACAAATTGTGAGTTCACCATACAATAAAACATTGTTTCATCATATCTAGACCTCTTGTTCCGGATTTGGACTAAAAAATGATATAGCGTTTATTGATA